CCAGATGGCTTTAAAATAGAGAAGAAGCTCGAAGTTTAAAGCTTTGTGCTTTAACTTCACGTCTCTTGGGTCCCTATTCCTTTATTGAATGAAATTCACCAAATTAAGATTGTAAGTTAAAAGTACAATGTTTTGCTAATACTTCTTGTGAGTGTGTGTGAACTTATTTATCCTCTCTCATTGGTCACAAATCACACAATTAGAAACATATTATCCTAAATTGGACAAGTGGTGGAAAAGCTCTTCTTCTTTAGATGAGAGTGAAATATGAGAATGACATTTCTCTTTAGGGATTAATTAAAGGGATTACGAAGGTCCATGTTTGTCTTTAAATGTTCTAGGAAAGTGAAGAAGATTGATATCCCGAGGAGATTTTTGAATTAGAAAGATGGGACTTTGGATTCATACACAGTACACACACACTATTAAATGAACACCATTTTCTCTCCTTCCATGGTTATTTATTGCACTTCCCATCTCCCAATAAAGCCTCTAACCAAACTCTCCCCTTTTTGGTTTTCCTTCAGTGTCATGTTTTGTACTGTAGATTCAAAGACACGTGCACCTTTCTTTCCTAATCAAACAACATTCTACTACCTATGATTGAACTTGTTTTCCAAATTAATTAAATTATGATAACCCGCAAATGAGGTAGTAGGTGGAAATGAAGATTATAATGCCCTCCAAATTGATTGCTGCCACTAAGCATTAAAATGCGGTCAATAAAGAATCCGGTAATAGTAAAATTATTATTGCGACAATCTTAAAGAACCACATGCATTGATAACACGCGTCTTTTGATTATCCAAACCCATTATTTCTTCTTCAAAGATAGAAAAAAATTGACAACACAACACATAAGAGTAGTGGAGACGATGTGGTGTATGTAAGTAAATGTATAGCTCTCACATTGGTCCTGCTTCTACAATCTCGATGGTCAGAATCAGAAAAACCAAACCACATGTTATTGGTAAATCCAACTACTTACTTATCTCAACCAAACAGAAACCGGGGAATAATGTACAAAAGATTGTTAAGGTAGGCAAAAAGAACAATTATCCTAAAAGGCTACAACTTTACCCTCAACCATCAATCTCCACTCTCCAGTGGCTGTGATTTAGAACTCCACCAACTTACACACATATTTGCTCACTCTGGTTGAGAGTATCAGCCACGGTACGATTCCCACCTGCATTTTCACCCAACATTAGCTCCTTACTGTAACCCAACAACCATCCGAAAAAAACGGCTTG